CTGTGGTCGATCTCAATTTTCTAAACCCACAGTAGCTATGTCAACCTGAGGTTTACCAACTTCTCCAGCTTGCAGATGCAGCTGGTGAGAGAAATCGGTCTGTAATTCACTGTATGGGAGAATCCTTTCTAGGTTTGGGGATAGGAATGATTATAGTTTCTTTCCATGTGAGTGGCACTGTGTCTTCCATGGAAATCCTGTTGAATAGGTCCAACTGGAACTTTTGGGAACTCTCCAATTAGTGAGATATCATTTAGTATGGTTACTGGTATGATGCTCCATAGGAGATTTCTGCCATGTTTTTTTAGTTAGGTCATTTGCAACATTTTTTTTTTTTTTTTTAGGATTAAAGCAGGTGGTGAACAGATATTCTCTTTCCAGAGATCTTCCATATCCATGCTAATTGGATCATAGAGTTACTCGAGGAGATATATTGTCTCCACGACGTCCTGGTCTTGGCTTGGGCCTTTTGTAATGGATCAATATCAGATTGTTGGGGGGGGGGGGGCGTTTCAGCTGCCTTGTTGCAGCTTTTCTTGGTCTAACAGCTAGTTGACATTCACCAGACCACAACAGTACAGCTTTTGCTGCAAGGTGAATTTTGTTACGTTAAGTAATCAACAGCATCTTGAACACACTGGAAATCATCCACAGATCTATGCATTACTGCAGCTGATTCAAAAAGATTCCATTCTTCATGTTCAAGTCACCATCACTTCGCCCCATTGGCTGGAATGGCATTCACTTCCAAAAAGATTGGAAAGTGAACACTTCCATGACCTGCCAAGTGAAATCCACCTGTGCACCAGGTGACTAACTGACAGATTGGACAGTGCCCCAGGCTGACTTTGGAAGTGTGTGGGTGTGTCACTATTCAGTCAAACTGCATCTACTCGAGAACAAGACACCAATGCCTTCCTCGAGGGTTTTGCTGGGTCTCCCCAGAGGTGATGCCGGCCATTTACAGAAGTGCATGAGGCAACAGTTACAGTGTCATGAGGTCAGTTACAGTGTCATCTGCAGGTGGATGGTCTGAAAGGGAATATCTTGACGTACCATCACTGCTACTCCTTCATGAGGTCTATTATCAAAGGTCCCATAATGGGCTTGAACTCGGAATCCTCTCAGGGAAATTGGACGATTTTCTCTGGTCATAATCTATTGTGGGCATACACAAATGAGGTTACATGAAGCAATCAGATGTTGCAGTTCCTCCCATTTTGCATGAATTCCCTGACAGTTCCACAGGATCAGGGTATTGATTTCTTTAACTACCTTTTCAAAAGGTGTTTGGTAGCACCTGTGGTTTAGGCCTGCCCTACTTCTTTAGGCTTTCTTTTACCAGGGTCTTGAGAGTGCTCTTTGAAACTAATTTTTGACAGGCTTTCTTTGGAAAGTCTCTGGTTTTCTTTACCTGGGTAAAGTGCAGACCTGAGCTTTTGGTTCAAGGGCATATTGCCAAGCAGCAGAGAACCCTTTGGATGTGATAAAAGCTGTGGTGCTGTCACCTTTGAGACCTCTGGAGCTTTGGCAGACACCTCTAAAATCTCCTAAATAAACCTCTCACTCCTACTTCGCTTTAAGGAGTGAGGTCAAACTGTAATGGCAGAGTGTATGGTGCCAGAAGTATTGGAGGTTAAGGGATGATGGGAAAGAGATCGAGTTAGAACCGAAGCAAAGGACTTACCTGGCTGTGAGAACAACACATGGACGAGACGCTTTGCCTCCTTATGTTGGATGAGTCAATGGCACATGCTCAGAATTCTTTTGCCAGGGCAAAGAGCAGACCTGAGCCCTTGGTTCTGGGGCTTTCTATCTAGCAGCTGAGGCCCCTATGGAGGCGGTGGCAGCTGGAGTTGTCACCACTGAGGCCCCTGTGGAGGTGGCGGCAGCTTTAGTTGTCATCATTGAGGCCCTGTGGAGGCGGGTGGCAGCTTTAGTTGTCACCACTGAGGCCCCTGTGGAGGCGGTGGCAGCTTTAGTTGTCATCATTGAGGCCCCTGTGGAGGCGGTGGCAGCTTTAGTTGTCATCATTGAGGCCCCTGTGGAGGCGGTGGCAGCTTTAGTTGTCACCACTGAGGCCCCTGTGGAGGCGGTGGCAGCTTTAGTTGTCACCATTGAAGCCCCTGTGGAGGCGGTGGCAGCTTTAGTTGTCATCATTGAGGCCCCTGTGGAGGCGGTGGCAGCTTTAGTTGTCATCATTGAGGCTCCTGTGGAGGCGGTGGCAGCTTTAGTTGTCACCACAGAGGCCCCTGTGGAGGCGGTGGCAGCTTTAGTTGTCATCATTGAGGCCCCTGTGGAGGCGGTGGCAGCTTTAGTTGTCACCACTGAGGCCCCTGTGGAGGCGGTGGCAGCTTTAGTTGTCATCATTGAGGCCCCTGTGGAGGCGGTGGCAGCTTTAGTTGTCACCACTGAGGCCCCTGTGGAGGCGGTGGCAGCTAGAGCTGTTACTGTTGAAGCCTCTGGAGCCTTACCTGATGCTCCAAAGACCTTACTTTAGGAGGAATCTCCCCATTAGACAACTCACCCTTAGTCCGCATCTGGCGGAACAACTCACCAGAGGCAGTTTCACTATTTGAGGACTGAGGTCGCACTCCAGTGGGAGAGAAGTAATGAAGGTTAAGGGATAACGGGAAGAAGGTCGAGCTATAACTGATGCAAAGAGCTTGCTGTTCGCACAGCCAGGTATGACACTTTGCCTCTGGAAAACTAACTTTCTTCTAGTTCCAATACTTCTTTTTCAAGTGCGAACCTGATACACTGCTTTAAAGAAGCTTCAAAAGAGGATTGTGACAGGTCTTGTTAGTTTCCTAAGGGAGACTAGTATTTTCTATCAAATTTAATTATGTATAGCGTTTATGCAATACTTTTACGCATGTAGATCATATTTATGCTTTGACTATTGATATATTTATTGATAGATTTTAAGATTTTAAATATTTTAGCATTTCAATCTAACAAGGTGTTCACCTCTAATGATCTTAGATATTGACGCGGCAGATAATTTTAAACAATCAGTCTATCAACCATCATGTCATCTTTTAAATGAGTTGTTGGTCCTAGTTAAGTTATCCTTTACTGACTGTTCTTATTCCATGCCCTGTGAGGAAGCGGTTTTCGTATTTATGAACCATTAACCAAATGACCTACCGTCAACCGGGGTGACTTTGATCAATTTTGAAGGTTTTTAAGAAATAAATAAAAGGAGCATTGTCTTGTGGCAAATATTTTGCTCCCAATAAAACAGTTTGGGTCACATACACAATATATATTAATGTATATGATGTTTGCAAATTGGTTCTTTATCTTTTTTACAGTTTTAGGAGTGAACAAAGCCACCCCGCCAGTGGGGTGACTTTGTTCACTTAAGAATTTGTAGCATAATCACAACTGTTCACAAATGTCATTAATATGATTAATATGAAAAACTTCAAGTTTTATGACACATTTAAAAATAATCCATATAAATGCATTAAACAAGACAATGAATTGGTAAGCTAAATTAGTAAATTACTAAATTTCAACCCAAGTTTGTAATGAACAGACACCGCTGAAATGGGTCATAACACTGCTGAAATTGTTGGGAGGTGTGGACAAGGAGCATATTCTAGTTATGTTGATTTCATTCTGCTGCTCTACACTCACTCCGAGTCCAGTAAAGTGTTCAATCTTCTATCAACAAATTACAAAATATTTTGTAAACTTCCCCAAGGGTATTCTCTGTGTTTTCATTATTAGCACCATTACTAGGTGTCTCCCTGCTTGTCTGTCTTTTTTTGTTTGTTTGTTTTCTGCTGCAGATTTCCATCCCCTTTGTTTTTTTTTCGGTTTCTCTCATGCATTCTGGCACATCTGTTATGGCTCTTCCTGGCTCAACTTGCCTTCCTCGCTTCTGCCTTGTGTTCAATGGTTTTCCTAAACCATAGTGATCTTTTAGGACCGTCATAATTGACTCACTCAATACCTTTGGTGTATCTGAGCCACCAGGATCTTTGTTTTCATTCGGTATTCTTTTCACTACCTGCTCTTGGTCAAGAGGGCAAATTCCTGTCGCTCTAAAACCTGCAATGATATTGTCTGGCTTAATTTTATTGGCCAGTCTTGACAGTAGCATAGGGAATTGTTCCTTTGGAATTGTTCCCTTTGACCTGCTCTCTTTTCTCCACATTTCAAGGATTTCCCTCCAAGCCTTTTTTGCTGGCCCAAAAACTGCAACATCAAGGGGCTGAAATAGATGCGTTGAATTGGCAGGAAGTGTGGCAAATACTATGTTATTTGAGACACATGCTTCAATCACTTCCTTGGAAAAATGAGATGCGAGATTATCCCCTGTCAGTGTCTTTTTTCCTCCCATTTTGCTAACAAACAGAAGGAATACCATAAAAAAAACACTTAGCAAATAGATCTCCATCAAACCAGCCACTCTTGGAGCTATCATACACAGTGCCATTAGGACCACCTTTTGTCCAATTTTCATATATATTCATGGACTTATAAACTACCATTGAAGGCAGTAAAATCCCATTTGCATTGCAGCAAAACATTAAACTTATTGCTTGCTTTGAGTGCTCAATTTTACGCTCAACGCGCCTCAATCCTCTTCGAACAATAACTTTTTTGCAACCTGGGTCATCAGTTACATTTGTTTCATCATATTTGAAAATGTTAGATGGTGGAATCCCATCTATGCTTGCTGAAAGGTTGTTGAAGTATTTTTTCACCAATTCTGGATTTACTTCAGCTCTGCTCGATTTGACATTATCTGCCATTCTCTTTGTGAGATTCATACGTTTCATGAAACTTGACAGCCATTCTGTTCCTGGCAGGTTATTTTTAAATCTTGAGTCTACCACACCTCTCTTATCCAGGTATGACTTTACCAAGCATCTTATGGCAAATCCATCTAGAGGGACTCTCCAGTTAGTTAATGTTGATTGAGTTCAACAGCTCCTTTTCGCAGTCATCTGATAATTGCTTCTGTCTTCCTGCCTTACGGCAATGGTAATTGCTCAGTTTGTTTTTTAAGAGTATCATAAGCAATATCAATTCTTTTGGGCTGCATTTCTTATTGATGAACCCTGCAATACAGCAGTGTAGACACATTCTAGGGATTTGTCATTAAATGACTGATATCTTCTTACATCCTTTTTTCTCTTATAATTTCGAACCATTTTCTGAAGTCTGAAATGAAAAAAATGAAAGTGATGAAAGATGGCTGTACACGGAAACCTATTGGAATGCTTCTTTTTTACAGTGATGATTAAAATTACAGAGGAATTAATATTTTAATCACTGAAGTGTTAATATTCCTGTTGTTAAAATTAGGCCGTTTAGGCCAAATGGGGTGACTTTGACAAAAAATCTGAAGTTAAAAAACCACAGATATTTTAACAAAACAAAACAAATATTAATAATAATTCTTACCTTTAAAACACTTTAACTGTCTTCTTGCTGTTTGTGGAAATTAATTCTAATTCATGGAACTCAGTTTTGAAAGAAAATTGTTGCGATAAACACTATTGACTTTTGTGCTCTGGAAATATCAATTTTTGTATTGACCGGACCAAGTGAACAAAGTCACCCGACTGATCAAAGTGACCCCGGTTGACGGTATGTATGTCAACATCTTGCTCGTATCTCAGTTTCTGTCCCAAATTTAAGATCCATCATCAGACTAACTGGTTCTGAAAATAGCAACTAGCGGAAATTATTATTATTATTTTTTTTAATCTGTCGACAACCAAGCCAATAGAAATAATCATTAACGCCTAATCTTATAAGTATCCTCACATTTTTAAGGCAAAAAGTGCATAGACAAGTAGAGAAGTAATGCCACCAAAGTAGGCATGTAAACTACACTGTTGGAAATATTCCATCAGAGTCACTTTGACGGTCCCATCTCTGAGACTGCGATAAATTGCAGGTCCTCACCAACAATGAAGATCAGCATGTTATCAGCATTTGTTATCTCACATAACTTGAGGTCGGTAACGCGCCTTCTGCTGCACATGGCCTAGTGTCCTTGTGATCGATTCCACTTTTGGTACTACTTCTACTTGTTCATAGAAGGTATTTACAATATGAGTAATGGGTTTTACTGTGGTGGCAGCACATTTCCTCATTGGAACTATATGTACTTGTAGATATAGGTGTAGATTGGAATATACCATTAAATAATCTTGTCATTAATGGTGTGAATTGTGATTACAGGGTTTACAAAAATCGCTTTCAATCTTATTATTGTTGTTTAGCAATAGTAAGAGCAAAACAGATGCTAACTTTATTGTCCTTTTCATTACGCATTATGGAAATTAGAATTATTATTGTTTGCTCGTGATGCGATCAATAACATTAATGTTACTAAACATTAAAATTAACAATGATAATGATAATGACAATTATGATAATAATGGTAATAGTATTAGTAATAATGATGCTATTAGAATTATAGTAATAATAATGATAGTATGTTTCTAATAATTAGGATGATAGTAATGATATTTATAGTTATAGTGATAATAGTTGTTTAAAGAGGCCTCAAAGCTTTCTAATTATTTTTAAAACGGAATAATCCTCAATAGAGGAAAATTTCCATAAGAACCAATTAAAGAGTCCTTACGTGTTAGGACAAAATTATAGACAGTTCTTGCGGATGTGAATACAAAATTTTAGTTACATATAAGGAAAAAAAAATAACATTCGACAATAGATCAAAGAGGCACTTCAAAAAAAATCTTATTAAAAACCACTATATTTAACAAAACATAACAAATATTAATAATTAATCTTACCTCTAAAACACTCAACATCCTTCCTTGATGTTTTGTTGGAAATTAATTCTAATTCATGGAACTCATTTTGTGAAGAAAATTGTTGCGATAGACACTATTGACTTTTGTGCTCTGGAAATATCAATTTTTGGGGTAAAAATTGACCGGACCAGTGAACAAAGTCCCCCGCCTGATCAAAGTACCCCGGTTGACGGTATGTATGTCAACATCTTGCTCGTATCTCAGTTTCTGTCCCAAATTTAAGATCCATCATCAGACTAACTGGTTCTGAAAATAGCAACTAGCGGAAATTATTATTATTTTTTTTTTAATCTGTCGACAACCAAGCCAATAGAAATAATCATTAACGCCTAATCTTAAAAGTATCCTCACATTTTTAAGGCAAAAAGTGCATAGACAAGTAGAGAAGTAATGCCACCAAAGTAGGCATGTAAACTACACTGTTGGAAATATTCCATCAGAGTCACTTTGACGGTCCCATCTCCGAGACTCACATAACTTGAGGTCGGTAACGCGCCTTCTGCTGCACATGGCCTAGTGTCCTTGTGATCGATTCCACTTTTGGTACTACTTCTACTTGTTCATAGAAGGTATTTACAATATGAGTAATGGGTTTTACTGTGGTGGCAGCACATTTCCTCATTGGAACTATATCTACTTGTAGATATAGGTGTAGATTGGAATATACCATTAAATAATCTTGTCATTA